GTTCAACGTCTTTAAAACGTGGCACTGACATTTTAAGCTTTTTTTGTGACAATACAAAATGTTCTTGAAGTTCTTTATAAAGACACATTGATTGAACAAGGTGACGGGTCTACATCAGAAGAAACACATGCATGAAAGAAACCAGGGTGTTGCTGTTCAAGACCCAACGATGTGAGCAGCATGTGCACAAGTGGCCCCGCCATTTCTCGTGTGCTCACTCCACGCATATCTTTCCCTCGAGCTCGCCAAAATGTACACATAAACAAACTCAATCTATGCCTTGCTCCTTCGGCGATAAGACAAACAGAAGGGAGGACAGACGACAAGTGCAGCCAAGTGGCACGTGCGCAATCTGTTGTCTGCACCGTGATATCAACGCAACTGCTTAAAGAGCCCTGCGTGCGCGGCGAAACAGAAAAAAGGAGTATTTACGTGTGAGATAGACGAGAGACGCAAGATCCCGCGATTTTGCTGCTTGGTGTGTGCTGCGCAGAAAAGGTAGTGAAATGATTTGTGTGCGATGCATAAGCATTGTTGTACAGGGGCCATATTCTGCAGTATGGCTTGTGATGCCACTGTGGTGTAATGCAGCTCCAGCGGAGGGTGTCACTGAGTTCATGGACATAAACCAAGCCAGCGCCAGACTAGTCTGCTCCTCTCAGGAATAGCAATGGCTGAGGTGTCCGTGCATGTACGCGCATGTGTGTGTGTGTGTGAGTATTTGTGTTTTTTTTTTGTTTTTTTCTCTAAAAAGTGTGGGTGGGAAGATTGAAAAAGATTGGAAAACAGCTAAAAGAAGAGGAGGATTCACAGGAGCTGAAAGACAGATCGATGGACAGACAGGCAGTCTCTCGAGAAAAGACAGTGAGTGATAGATGTCCAGGGGATATAGAAACATCGCAGGCAACAGGGAGAAAGAAGAAAAAACGCCCACTTAAGAAAAAAAAAGAAAAAAATTCTTCTAGTTTGATTTCACCACATCGGCATGTGGCATTTCAAGCACATAGGCTGTTATTACCGTACTCATGAAAAATTGCAAACAGCAACTCACACGCTCACACGCATTCTCTTCTGCACAAAGGCATGCAGAAATCCCTTTTAAGGTTAGCTCTGTCACTCCTACTTTGACACTAAAGCACATGTCAACCTGGACAGACGTGCAGCCATGAATAAGGGAGTTGTGTAAACAATGAGAAGGCAAGACAGTGACAGGCAGATGGACGGACAGGTAGACTGGTGCGAAGGCAGAAGTGCCATGGCCTGCGGAAAAAAAACAGAGAAGAGATATTCAGTGAATAATGAGATAGGAGCCCAAACAGACAAGAGGGAAACTGAGAGGTTTCAGAGAGAGGGAACATAAATCGAGATAGAAATACTTGATAAGCGATCGGGGCGATGGATATCTATGTCAGGGTATGGATCACTTAAAGCGAGACGCTTGCTGAAAGATGCCAAACAGCTGAAGTACTTTTAGCCATTAAGATCAATAAATAGAATACAGAATATATTGTAGCAGATTTTCAATTTTTCTTTTTTTTTTTAATGGTGGGAATTTTTCACATTCTGAAGTCTGGAATTTTAGATCCAATCAGGAAATACCAAAGAAGTGGATATTCCCTGAAAGAAAACATCTCCAGCTTTCCAAAATCCCTCTCTCTGTCTCACACACACGCACACAAACACACACACACACACACATATGCACGGTGCAGCGCAAAATCTCTTTTCTCATCATCAGAAAAGGCATCGGGCACAACGGGGGGATAATCTGTACTCTTCAGTCGTCTATGACCAGTGATTCAGCTTGACACCTTAATCTGCAGAAATCACAGAGGACTCCTCCATGGAGCCAACCGTATTTACTACAGATTACATCTTCCACTGGTGTGCATTAGTCCAGTGACAGCTTTGCAGACTGCAGGGAAATCGGCAATCATAGGCCACTGACAAACTCCTTGTGATTTTTGCCACTGGCTGTGAGTGGCCGTCAATCTGCTGCTTTAAAGCGCTGTGTGGAACTCCCATTTTCAGAGACACTCTCCTAATGCGACCTTGGTCAATGAATGCTCCCTGTTTTCTTTATCCTTGATAATTGAAGAAATTAAATCAGGCTGGAAACGTGCTCATTTAACAGCACATGTGAACTTGTTTGCGTCACAGCAAGCAAATGCTGGAGACAGCAGGGAATATGTGATGCTTAAGTGCAATGGGACATGTAAGATAATGAAACTAGAAGGAGGAATAGAAGAGTGGCAAAGTTGTCTGCTCAGTGTCTTCTTCAGATGTCGTTTCCTTCAGCGGTTCTTGGTGCAGCGCCACCGCAGGTGAAAGGCAGGGGCAACAGGTCTTTCAAAGGGTTTGGTTCATTTGACACAGTGCAGCAGTGAAAGTGAAACGCACTAGCTGGAAATGTAGCAAATCTTTCAATTTTGGTCCCCAGTTGAGCCGAGTCTACCGCACCATCAGGCGTGAAAACGCTTGGTGTCTTTTTGCTCTTGCTACCCTATACTCTAATGACCTTGTGGCTCTCTGTACTCTGATCTGCAGAGAAGAAATTTCTTTTTTTGGCCAGACAGACGGAGAGAGAGACAGAGAGACGCTGAATGAACCATAATGAACCCCTAAGACAAAGAATCAGACAGAAAGCTGCAGAGAAAGAGAGAGCAACAAAGGAGAGGATTTCTGAGAATGCAAAACTGTGAAACAGAAAGAGAGGTGTTGAGATCAGAGGCTGAGAAGGATGTGTGCACAATAACAACGAGCACGGCACAGATGAAAAGCAGAATGCAAAAAGCACAACGAACGTGGATCCGCACAAATAAGTGTTGCAAAAATTATTTGGACAGAAAGAAGATTTGCTGTGCTTCCAGCGACGTGCATATTAGTGGGTGGACCGCCCACACGTCTTCATGATTTCTTCTTTTACCAATGAAAGTTCAGTTTTCAGATTCGGTGTTTGATTTCTGTAACGTCGGAGCTGCGCACTTAGAAGTTCTTCCCTCACAGCATAAGAATCTGTGGCTCTAAGCAATGAGGCTTTTACCTCGCCAGCCTGTTGATCCAGACCGTTCGAGTTTCAAAACCAAGCTTAGCAACTGGCAAACGCCATTGGTATTGCATTTAGTGAAAAAGACGAACCAGGCCTTTGTTTCAGTTCACATGAAAGCAAAAAATAAAAAATAAATAAAAAAACATCACAGGCAACAGCATCATAGGTGGTAAAAGTGGATGAAAATATCAGTGGATATTAGGAAATCTTAAAGATTAGATAAATAAAATGTTTAACTTTTCCCCCAGAGTAGAAACTGGAAAACAAATACATTCTTTATTTAGGTCTGCTCTCTCTTCTTACACATCTTCTTACATTTTGTTCAATATCTTCTTTAAATATTTGGAAGAACAGCACACTCTCTCTCTCTATACACACACACACACACACATATATATATATATATATATATATATATATATATATAGTTTTGTAAAGTTTTGCACATTTTCAGAACAAAAAGTTTAGAGAAAAGATCATTCAATCACGATTATTTGTAATAGCACATTTCAGCAACAAGACAGTTTAAAGTGCTTTTACATCATAAAAACATAAAATATCATAGAGCCAGCCATTGAGAAAATCAGCGTAGCATTTTGTCAAGTGCCATCATTAAAATCAACTTTTGATTTGAGTAAATTCATTCATCAAGGGGAAAAATAGCCAGAGTTAAACACCAAACGTGTTTTTGCTTCTCGCTGGAGGCAGTCTCGTTATTTTAGAGACTGGAACTGGCTGGAACTCGGGTTCCAGCCAGAGTTCTGACTGGAACCCGATGAAGAACTTTTTGGTGAAAACTAAAGATCATCACCGTTGGTTCAAGTTACCGGCATTAAAATAATCGGTCGGAAAATGACGGAAGGGCTTACTTGTCGCAATCCCAGGACGTACATTCTCGACGAGATGCCCGAAAAAGAGAAAACCGAAACTTGATTGCTTATCTTTTCAGAGGAACAAACTTATTGGTTGAATGAAGATAATTTAAGCAATAATTGGACATTTTAAAGCAATAAGGACCAACCAAAATGGCAAAGAGGTAAAGAAAATCTCAGCTTTCAGATTACTTAGCTGCAACAAAAGATAAATGTAACTTAGCAATTATTTTATCCGGAGGGACCAACTAACGATGTCTAACAATAGATTTGCAGCACACCCTCTGCTATGACTTCTTAACAGCATCTGGGAGGGGCCGCGTCACTAAACAGGATACACCTTTTCTACAGCCATGATGTCCTTGCCCCACATCCTCTGCTTGTTTTTCAATGAAGTAACAATTGCACATCATCTGTAAAAAGGTCATTTTATAACTTTACTTTCCTAACTGGAGAAACGCTGAATCCCCTTTTGTTATTTTACATTTTAACTGAGTGATTTATGCTTCCTTGGGAGAAAATCTGCAACTTTGGGGTTTTTTTTTGTTTGTTTGTTTTATTTTCTTATATCATTTTGATCCCTGTAGGGCTTGCTTGCATGTCAGAGAATAACAGACAGATGGCCAGAATGACACCAGATTCTGAATCATTTCCTGAGTGCAGTCTGAAGTCTGAGGCAGCAGCACTGGTCTTGCTGGCAAGTTGGAGAATGAAACTGTGCTTTTTTACTCCTTTCTTTCTTTTTTTTTTTTTCATTCATGAAGATTTAATGCAATTGACAACAAACGCACAAATCAAAGTATTTTCTGGAGAAACTCATGCTAATCTCTGCTTTTTTGTTTGTTTGTTTGTTTTTCAAAGCACCTTTACTGAGTTATAGTTTGTCAAAGCTGCTTAAGTCCAACTAACGCCGATTTTTGGCTGCGCACCGATTCATCCAGACGCATCCCTTTCGCATCCGGATCGCGAGTAAAAGATACGACGGGACAGGATGAACAACAATAAACGAAACGTAATTGACGTGGAGCTCTCGGCACATAACCCCAGACACGTAAACACAGCGAACGGGAAAGACTTACTGCCTCTCTGCAAGGACTCATCTGACTGCTGCTGAGCGGAGGGCGGAAAGCGAAAACCTCATGCTCGCTGCGCGGCAGTCCTCTCTCTTTCGCTCCCTCTCTCCTCCTTCTTCTCTTCTTTCCCTCTCGCTTTCGCCCTCCCTCCGTCCTCCTTCTTTTCCTCCCTCCCTCTCTTGGTAGAGCCTTACTGTATTCAGCAACACCAGGCTCCATATAAGGCGGCCCCGCTAAAGATGTCGCACATAATTTATCCACGGCAGGCAGCAAGTTCACCTTTCACAGCTCGCGCTTGGACCGCATGAGAGACAGAGAGAGAGAGAGAGAGAGAGAGAGAAAGAGAGAGAGAGAGGGAGCGAGAGAGACAGAGAGAGAGAGTGGGACGGAGTGTTGTAGTCCAACTTCAGCCACGTAGGTCCACAAAATTTCACACTCGGTAAAAAATAAAAAATAAAAATGCGCGCGCGCAATCACGCCCGCGCGCGCGTCTTGACAAATGTTAACAGTCGGACCGTGAAAAACGCTACCTGGAGACCAGCGCGCGACACGGTTCACCTACCGGCACCGCCCCCCCTCCTTCCCTCACCCCGCCCTCTTTGCATCCCTGCCCGTCCCGTGGATCCTTGCGGATGCCGTGAAAGGCCGTGTCCACCGACAAAAACCCACTTTTTTTTTTTCCTCAAGCCTTTTTTTAAAACCTGACTGACAGGAATAAAATAAATCAATTAATTAAATAAAAAAAAAAATAAATAATAATAAAAATGAAAAATAGCCCTTCAAGAAATATGTTTAAAAAAGGATTTAAACGTCTTTGTTTTGTGGCTGAAACGAGAAGGTGAGATGAAATAAAAGCGTCAACAAAGCAGAGTGCTTCCTGGTTGTGAGCGCATCAACGATCTGTGGCGATGGCTCAGTTTCTGCGCTATCAAAAAACAACAACAACAACAACCCTGCTGACCTCTCCTCCGCCTCTTTCTTTCTGACACACTCACAGAGGAAAAAAAAAAAGAAGAAAAACGCCATCCAGACAGCAGTTGCAAAACTAATGAAAACAAAAAGCGGTGAGTTGCAGAAAAAGACAGATTGGGAGGAAGGGGGGGGGGGAAAGAAGAATAACATAGCAACTCTGAGTTGTGGTATCGTCCTCCCTCCTCCACCGGTTCGGTCCACTCACAGGACAGCAAGAGTCACCGCTCTGTTGCCATGGCGTCTAACTCCATCAAAAGCCACGTCAGGTGCGTGTGTATGTGTGCGAGCATCTGTGACCGTGCCGGCGATTTTTTTTAATTTTTTATTTTTCAGCTCATCACACAAAGTGTGCGTGCGTGTGTGTGTATACGAGCTGCATGTGGGTGTTGCCAAGTGATTCAGAGCCACATCACCGGTTGCAATATATCAGGTTTGTTTGGGATTTATCACCGCGTTGGCTTTTGTGTGCACGAGATCGTATGCGGGAGAGCGAGGTGTTGATTGAACAGCAGCCTGCAGCCTGCTCTCAAAAGCACCTGTGATGAATCTCTGCGCCGCTCAACGTGTTAATGTTTAGCTCCAGCTACTATAAATATTTAGCAGCTCAGCTCATAGAGCCGGAGCGACTCACCGTGGGCCCCCCCGGAACCTTCCACGCTCCCCCCGAACCCCCCTCGCGTGGAAATTTTGATTTTCGCCCCGCATTGTCTTGTGCCCTAAAAAGGTCCTGCGGCTGCTTTGCAGGATTATGCTGAACTTTTAACAGGTTCACAAATGTGTTGTTGTTTTTCTTTCTTTTTTTTCTTTTTTTTTTTTTGTGTGTTGGTAAGAATGAAACAAATTCTGAAATATACACACGTCTACACCAGCGATAATATTCAGAGAGAAGCTACAAAATTTATTACAGTTAACAATTTATTGTCAGTGACCGTGGAATAAAGATCTCAGCGATTCATGCAGATTAGAGAAGGCGCAGTGCCAACGCTGCAGCATATTGTAGCAACACAAATGCAATAAAGTAGATTCAGCCTTTAATTGTGGCTAATCACATTTAAGAGCCGGCCCACAGTAGAAGCGAACAAAGCAGCCACCTGGGCTCCCCTGAGAGTGGGTGGCCTCTCGCTTGGACTATAGGTGACTAAATTTAGTCAGAGCAACACAACCGTTAGACTTCCAACATTTCTGGATAGTGAAGTTGTTTCCATTTTGATTCGGACTTTAAAAAAAGAATATGCTAGTAGAACCCATGCTAAACAGAATATAACAGATATTCTGTCGTGATTTGCTGTTGTTCGACTGGTGGTGTTTGTAATGCACACTGTGATCAGTGGTAACTGCCGGAGCTAATGCTCTGTAAACAGTGTGAACACACAACTTATTCACCGTTTATGTACCAAATGATGTAAGGTGAGTAAGTTGAATGTCAGTCTGATCCTGTAAACTAAATCTATCTAAACCGTCTGCCATATGTCGAATGTTAATTTGACGTTTCCAGATTTGCAGACATAAAACTTGTTTAGTAGCCTTCTCTCAGCCAGCTGGACCAGCAGTGTGCAGCAACAGGTGGTCGGAGGGCAGAGGTGTGTTGCTTTGGGTCACACTCTGACGCTTTCTCGAATCTGGCATCTCGAAGGATCTCAAACTGTAGAGCAGTGTGATTAAAAAAGTTTACCAACCCCAAATTTCATCGAACACTCAGTGAAAAGCTTTCACGGTGTGTTTCGAAGAATCAAAATCAGTTGCAGTTTTTCCTTTCTGTTTAATTCTAAAGCACATTTTGCGACTTCACAAATAAAATACGGTTTGATACAAACTTTTTAACTGGACATGCACCATATTTACAATCAATACGTAAAATACTGCAAGGTAAACTGGAGTGCTGTTAGCAAGCCCAAAGAAAAGTCTCACTGTGTGGACTCAAGAACAACTTTTTTCCTCATTCACAAAGAAATAAATCTTACACATAGACACACTAAAAAGTCAAAAAAAAAAAAACAACAAAAAAAACAGAGCTTCACAGAAAGAGCTTAAATTAACGGCTTTCACTCACTTCATCGGACAAAATGACTTTAGCAGGAACCAGAGAGCTTCGCAACACTTTGCAGACTCCATTCTCCTGAGAAATACTGCTGAGTTTTAATAATACAAATTCTCATTACACCTACGCTAATTAGCATTACCTTCCCCATGAAACCGCAGTTTTACATCTACTTGGATTGGCCGTGTTTGTCATTTTGTTCCTTCTAAAACAATGCAGGATGATGCACTTTTCTTTTCTTTTTTTTATGCAACGATCGTAATGTGTAAAAAATGATGACGGTTATCCGTGGTCATTTCCACGTGAATTTATATTATTTGTGCTTTAAAATGTCTAGCTAAATAATAGTACTCTCGCAGTGACAGGTTTTTAAGTCTAAACAAGAGACACGGTAATAAGGCACCGACAGACAGTGAAAGGTTTTGGACTTGCAGATAATTGCTGCAATTGCAGATAATTTAATGCGCACTAAGGTTTCCGCTCACTGCTCCGCTGATGTCTGTGTAAGAAACCAAGGACTTTCTCTCATTTACACGAGTTGGTGGCCCTCATTCTGCTCATAGCAAAACAAAAGACATGGACTCTTCAACAGATGTCCTCTGTGTTCCATACCACTGAAGACACGAGTGGGGGGGAGTTGAAAAAGAACAAGGGCAGGGCTAGTTTGGACAAGGAAATCTGGCTCCATATATCATCCCCAATCCACTGCACACTGCGCTAAGGAAAGCCAGAGTTGGACTGAAGAGCAGAAGAAGTTCCACCAGGACATTTTTACAAATCGCATGGCATAAAAAGTCGTTCCTACAGGGAATCCTGGTGTGATCCTAACAGCTTTTTAACATTCGCAGCAGGCCAACGCTCCGGTCCTGAGTTTCTAATAATACACACGTGATCATGTAGGCTGCCTGTGTCTGCAACGTGTGCTGAAATCGAAAGTATTCTGCGGTAGCAGGGAATCATGGCATCTGTCCATAAACTAACCCCCGAGCTAAACCCCAGCAGCAAACTGATTCAAAAAACATGCTAAATTCATCACTACAATAGAAATTTCGTTGAATCCTGTTCAATGACAATAAATGCTATTCTATTCTATTCTTCTATTCTACAACTTATCGCTTAGAAATAATTGGCATGACTATTGTTTACCTGAGGAGAGCTGGAGCGTCAAGATCGTGTTCGATGGATCTTGTTTGCATTTCCGTAAGTTTTATCAGCAGATATGTTAACTTGTGTTTTCTGACAATGTTTTGGTCAGAAACATGAATGGCTTCCTTCACCTTCTTTGGTAAACTGTATGTGTAAAGAGGCTTGTGATGTACAGCTTTTATCATTGTGTGCAGCAGTGTAACAAACGGGACATTCTAGAAAAATCCAAACTTTATGGAGAACATATATTTAGTTTCCAGAACAGTTCCTTTGAAAAAAAAATTTTGTCTCTGATGATCTAATGATCTGTACTGGGAAGACCCTGACATTCGCCCAATGACATGAGCCCTCTTATGACCATAGATGGCTGGATGGATGGATATGATATGATATAAGTGGCTGCTCCTTCTGAACTCCAAGTTTTCCACATCGGAAAGACAAAAGAACATACCATTTAGGTAACATCTATATTTGTTACTCAGTCAGGAAACGTCAACAAGATGAGAACCATTCATATCTAGTCGGAGCAAAAACTCATGAGTTCAAATGAAATCTTTGGCAACCAAAAAGCCATGTTCACTTTGTTGCCATGCACTTTGAGGTAAATGGTGGCAGAGCTGAAAAAAATCCAAAGATAACTGATTATAAGACGTCACCAAAATTCTTCCTAGAGTGCCAATGTGGAAACTGAATCAAGATTGTGAAATCAATTTTAATTCCATATCCAATGTATCCATGCTAAGAAGTGTTTTTAAACTGAAATATTTGCCGCCAAAACAAATGGCGTCTTTATGAATCCTTACAAAATAACCATGTCATATCTTTACTGCATACTATGCCAATTTAAGTTGATGATGTGTCCAGAGCTTTGAGCTAAAATGTCTATTAGCCCCATTGTTTAAAATGGGGAAGACAGGAGAACATATATTTAAATAGAAATCAGATGATTACCGAACCCTGCCAGAGTCTACAGTGAGAACAACGACTAAAAAGTCAAACAACTGGAGCTGGATAGAAACCCAAGTTTATTATACTGCTGTTCTCAACGAGGAGAGTGAATGGAGCTGAAAAAGTATTCCAGTCTTAGTTACTTGAGGTGCTAATGAGTTCAGAGGGAGTTGTATATTAGGATGACTGGTTAGTCACCTATCAATGTGTATTTCTGAACAACCAAAAATATAGACTCACTTGCAACATCACAAATCATCTGGTATTTAATTTTATCAGCTAAATAAAACTCAGAAAGTGGACAAAATATCTACTTGAAATTTAAAAAAACCTAGTTTCTCCATTTTGATTTGTGAAAGTGGATTTCTTCTGCTAAATTGCATTAAGAAGTTATGCTGTCTTTGCTAAATGATG